GGTTTTGTCATCATCAGGTGTAGTATGTTCTTAATTATATTTATACTTGAACTGCAAGCTATCTAATTAGCCCAGTACGTACTTGAACACTACGTGCATTCTTATTCTTTAATACTGCATTATTTAATATTGATGAAATTTTAACCATTTGGTTTAATAGTACTTGTATATCAACTGCACAGCTTTACAGTTCATCCACGATATGCTAAAATTAGAACTAAGCGATTGATTTAATCAGTTATCTATGAGCATCAGTTACACCAATTAATGTTACATAAATAACCCAGTCATAAAATAATAAGCATAATTAGCATTTCTGTTTATTACTGTTTTTAATTATTACAGTAATCCAACTAATTGAAATGTTGCCATTATGATTTCTCATTATTGTTTTTGATTAATAGAGCTGGCCGATTAGTGATATTTACTAATCAATTTATCAATGGCCCCATTAATTGATTACATTTGATTCAATAATTAATACAGCGTTCTTCAAACTGTAGTACATACATGCAAAAAGAGAGTTGGCAGTGGGTGCTTTCAGACAGTTTCTTTCCTTCTAGGCAGTAATTCAAAAAGAAAAAACAAAAAAAAAGATGGCAACAGGTGCTACAAGCCATTTTTCTTCCCTCTAGTCCTTGAGACCCTTGAATAATGAGCCCCACTCTCTCCCAAATCATCAAAGTTGAAAAAACTGGAAGTAAACAAAATAACTTATAAAGCTAAAATTGGAAAGATCACAGATAGCCAATTATGTAGCTTTTTGCTTAACAACAATCAAATATAATAACAATATTTTGAGTACTTGGAATAATTGAAAATAGTAATAAGTGGAAACCCTAATTTTGATTATTTGATTCTTTTTGTGACAGTCAATTTAATCGTAATTTCGAGTAATTGATTGTTATAATAATTGCAGGCAGTAATAATTGAAAACACCAGTTCTGATAAAATCGATTAGTTATGTAATCAGTGTAATCACTGCTCGTAGGTAGCCATTCCAATTAAATAACCAGCTCCATTAATTAATTCAAGGTTGTTCATCTTAATTTACTAGTTTCAGGATTCACGAAAATAATCAATAAATTGAAATTAGTTTTTCCATTTATTACTATTTTTGAGTATTCTAACTATCAAAGTCTCGTGATAATAATCATTCAGTTCAATGTAATCAATTAATGAGCCTGACTGTTAGTCAGTTATCAAATTCCAGTAACTGCCCAACTCTAGTTTTACACAAGTTATATATGTATTGTGTTATGACTTTCAAAGGGATGCCATTCAGTTAAAGTGAAAGGTACAACACCAGTTTTAATTCCTGTAGCCAGTTAATTCCTATTTGATTTGTTCTTAATCACGTTTATTCCTCGTGTTTTTTTAGAAGTGTATGTCACTTTGTCTTTCAGTAAAACTGCTGATGTTTTATAAACATTTGGCAAGTACGAGTAGAAATTTCTTACTTAGTTTTACATTTCACATTTATTTTTCATTGTTTCTACATAAGATACTGTTTGTAAGTTAGATTTTTTTAAATTAACTAATGGTAAATAAAGTTCATCTATTTTGTCAGATTTATTAGGATATAGAATTATCACATTTTAATGGCCATTAACAGAATAATGTTGTTAATGGAAAAGAAAGCTAAACCACATTTGATATGCAAGCAGACAATCACTCAGACAAATAGAAAAACTCTAATAAAGCTTTGTAATGTATTTTTATGACTTTTGTTTCATTATTTTTAGTGCAGGTGAAGGGGAATCAAAAAAGAAATCCAAAAAGAAACGGCACAAAGATGTAGATGACCATGACTCCAAGAGTGACTTGAAGGTAAATTCCTTGTAATTACTCTGTATGTTTTTGTTCAGAAATGGTAAATGCAAAAATAATTTAAGAACTAATGAAATGTCCCATCAAAGCTTCAGATCAACAACAAAATGGTCATTGAAACCATGTGTATGTCTTTTTTTTTCATTGTATCAAAAGTAAATAATACAAGAAAATTGTAACTATGTCAAAAAAGGAAAACTTTCAAGTTAAACTGTGGGTAATAAATTGTAAAAAAAATCAGTTTTATAAAAATTTGGAATATTTTGTATTGCACTAGTTTGTATTTTAGTTACACAAAAATACTATATATTTGGTATGTAACGTAACATTGTGTTGAGCAGAGTTCTGCTCTTTATTAGCTGTATTATTTGTAATATACGTTATTGTAATAATTTCATTATTTAGTTGTTTGATTGCTACTGCTGTATTATTTCTTGATTAGGTAATTAAACTAATTTTAAGCAAAACTATAAAACAGTGGAGATGAGCAAGTTCCAAAATAATGGTTTATTTACATTAATTGTTGTCAATCCTATTTTAATTTTAACAGAAATGATGATTGTATAATATTGAATGTAAGTTGTGAACATCATTGTTATTAAGTTAATAATTTTATGAGATTAAAAAATCTCAAGTTAAGGTGAAGAACTGACAAAAAAATGGATTATTTTTTACAACTAAATCTTGAACAATCTAAATACTGATTTTTATTCTTAGAATTGTGAAGAAATACTTCTAAAATCTTTCATCTTTGACTAGGTGGTAAGGTTTGTTTACAAATGGGTTATGAAATGGGAAATTAACACTCAAATTGCTATAGAGAAATAGGCCTTGCTTTTTTCATTTTGTTGGTAAGATTTTGAATTGATGATTCAACAGAGCACATTTAAATAAACTTAATTATTATTTAATTTTATTTTATACAGCACACTGTATCAAACCAGTGCTTGAATGGTTCACTTTGATGATATAAAGTAGCTTTGAAAGTTTGGGATGGCTTGACTGGGTAATGAAAAAACTATTATAAATGTACAATGTACATGCATTTATAATAAAGTTTCTTCATTACCCAATCAAGCCACCTCAAAGCTTTCATTTTCTGAAAAGTGGTTTCCTTTTTATCAAGTTTTAATAAAGTACACATACTTGAAGGATGATTTCAACTTGAATTACAATAATTATTAAAATACGAAATTTGTGTACTTTATATAACCCATTCAATGTGGCTGGTACACATATGGCCTCTAATTTTTTTTCTATTGACTGCAGCTGGTAGACATATGGATTCTTGCTTTTAAAATTCCCATACGAGGTATTGGATCATATATTTTTCTGGTAATATTGTCCATTGATGCTCCCCCATATGTTGCCATACAGTAAGTCAATTATTTCTGCCCTCTATGTGTCAGTTTCTCTCAAGATGTCAATAAGGCCTGTATGATAACATCTCGCTGCTGAAACTGGAGAAAATCCAGATTATTTTATGGATTTACTAGATAGCATCAATCCTGATGAGTTGATGCAGTGAATAGAAAAAACATTTAAAAGCCATATATGTATCATCTGCAGTGAATGGGTTAATGGCCTTATCATGGGTCAATGTTACAATGGCAGATTACATACATATAAATTCTTTTAGATATATTAGTAATTCATTTCATTTTGAAACTTTCCAAACTCTCAGAATTATTTCTATTTGAAAATTGTTAAGGATTTGTTCATATAAAGGAATATTCAACTAAAATTTATCTTATTCTGTAAGTTTAATCTATGTTATCATTATTCATGACGTTAGAAAAACAAGTAGGTTCATGAAGTCTTGATAGAAATAAATAAAAACCCTATAACCCGAGCACTTTCAAAAGGTGGACCTTTCATATTCAGGGGCAAACTGGGAATGATCAGAAGTAGAAAGGTCCACCTTGTGAAACTGCTTGGGTTATAGGGTTTTTATTCATTTCTATCAAAGTTATCATTATAAAATTATTCAAGTTTTTCTTGATATGTTTAGTTTAGAGAGTTTGTATTTAGGTTGGTAGCATTCTGAATGTAGCACTGATTCCATTAGTAAAATAAAGAATGTAACTGTGACATTATCTACAACAAAGATATTGTGCATATTCATGAAAACATATATATAGTTTGAGTATGCAGTTCTATACAGTTGTTCTTCTCTACTAATCAGAAAGTATCACTAGCTTTATCTATCTAATCTTGGTAGTAATTTTGGTTTAAAAATGGAAGACAGCTAGGGACACTCAGAAACTATCCCACTTGCAGGATTTATGTTTAATCTTTCAGTGATTGTGGTAGTTTTTTGGTTTAGTGGATGAGATGTTAACAGGCATGATTAAACTTTATAAACTACAGTAGCGTGACTAATGTACAGCCTCAAGGCATCTGGGAAAGTTGTGAATATCACAAGCTTAGAACTGGAAGTTGCTATGAAGAAGAGAAAGGCTTAAATTTTAGGTAGGCAAATCATGGTAGCTAAGATAAGATAATGAAGACGTAGATCTAGACCAAGGCTGTGATGAAAGCATCCAGTTACAGGAAAATAGTGATCTGAAAACAAACATCAGTGAAATTTAGTTTTAGAAGTGAAAATGTGGAGGCTTGAACTTAATTTTTGAAACAGACACTAGCTAAGTACATGAATTCTATACAGGTGATTTTGTGTACTAATCAGTAGTGTTTTCACCGGGTACCTGGAAACTTGGGTACCCACCCATCACAGTTGTTACCCTATTCTTAAAAGAAAGGTTCTGCAAAGTTTAAGTCAAAGTAATGTAAACAGAGCTGCAGACAAATTATTATTTTAAAGAGAAGATAGTAAGTAAAAATCAGAAACAAGCAAAAAAAAGTCATGAGACAGACAGTGAATATGAAAGTGGAAACAGTCATAGTGATAGACTCAGATTAATTCTAGTAGTGGGCCAGTGACACTTATTAGTAAGTCATTGATTGTTAAGTTTAACAGTGTACAAAAATCCTTGAGTATCTTATAAATCAACTTAATCGACAATTCATTATACTTTCAAAACTTGCTTATACCATACTGACTTTTACTTCCGTTTTCAATAATGAATATAGGAGACAAAAAATCAAAAAATTATCGGCTGATTCCCTACGTACAGTTGGTTCATGGTTACTGCCATTTTATAGCATGGCACAGTCGTCATTCTAGGACAGAAATGAGACCTATCACTCATAGGAAACTTTCAAACCTGATGAATGTGTGATTTATAATAGTAAATACAGTAAATTTTTGTATCAATATAAATATGACCTTCCGAAAGTTTCTACATTTTTGTATAACTTGTTTCAACTGTAGCTAGCTGCTGCTCATCATAATTCGAGGTATTAGGATGTGGCGATCATTGCCGTAGAGTCATTGTTTCACTTCATTGAAATTTAAGTAAGAAACTCGCACACTAATCTTAATGGGGAATTATCAAAGTTTTGTCACTGAAATATTTGAGGTAAGCTCCACCCATTGATTGTGCTAACTTTTCTGATAGTACAGGCACACTCGGTGGTCTTGTAATCTCTCAGTGTGTGTTATAATGACAGGTGGCTGTAGATACCACAATGTCCATGCGTAAATGTACATATGTACAACCTAAGTGTCATCATCATCTACAAATATTGCCTGTGCAACATGGGTATTGTGTAATGACAGTCAACCAGTGTGAACTGTTAAAGATTGTTTCATTACCACTTACCAATATAGATATTAATTTTGTGACCACTAAGTTGGTGCTCATTACTAATTGGTTAAAATTTAAAAAATGGAGAGATGTTTGTTTGAATTTGTTTCAGTACCTCATGCAGAATAGTGAGAATGCATACAGTAGCCTATACCTTGCAGGCCTGTGCTATAGTACACATGGTGACCGCAAAAAGTTTCGGGGTGAACATTGTTTTCATCTTTCATTTATAATTATATCATCTACTGTTTCCTTTTACTCTTCCATCCAAACATTCATAACTTTTTGTTATTGGTAATTTTAGATATGCTTTTGCTAGAAAAATAAAGACAATGTTGCACACGAAGTAAACTTAAATGGTGTGGCATCATGATTCATATAATGTCTTGTCTTCTACGTGTTAGAAACTGTTGTGTTGATAGTCATAGGAAATTATCGGCCACCCGGATACCCACCTGAATTACCCATCCGGGTAAGATTTTTGGTATCCATTCAAACACTACTAATCAGGGATTACCACTATCTAAGTAATTGAAAACATATAGTGTAGTTGGGCATTCAATTCTTTACAGTTGGTTTTGTGTACCATACAGGGAGTACAATTAGCTAAGTACATGAAAGCATATAGTGTAGTTGGGCATTCAATTCTTTACAGTTGGTTTTGTGTACCATACAGGGAGTACAATTAGCTAAGTACATAAAAGCATATAGTGTAGTTGGGCATTCAATTCTTTACAGTTGGTTTTGTGTACCATACAGGAAGTACAATTAGCTAAGTACATGAAAACATATAGTGTAGTTGGGCATTCAGTTCTTTACAGTTGGTTTTGTGTACCATACAGGGAGTATAATTAGCTAAGTACATGAAAGCATATAGTGTAGTTGGGTATTCAGTTCTTTATAGATAGTTTTGTTAATTAATCAGGGAGTACCACTAGCCAAGCTTCAAGACTTGAAGAAAGCTATGGAAGTACTCACTCTCAATGTGGGACAGGAAGGACCTGCAAAAACACCAGAAGAAGCTCTTCATAAACGTTATGAATTTTGGGAGACTCAGCCTGTTCCAAAATTGGGTAAAAATGCTCATTGTCTTTTATGATGTCAATTTTATATTTTAGGTTAAATGAGATAAACAGTATTGTATTTTACGTAATGTAAATTATCTTGTATAGAATACAAAATTTGGCATGTTTTATTTTATATATATTTAGGTTCGTTGAGGTCAAATTAAAATTGTCCTGAAAATAAAAAATGTACATTCTATTTATCACTTCTTTTTTTTTATCATCATTTGAAAATATAATTGAATACCTGTGTTCATATATTATCTTCTCCCATGAAAAGTCTGTGGTATTATACATGTTTATAACCCAAGAAAGGTTGCTATATATATATATGCTTGTGGCAGTTTACAGTCTTGGACTTTAAAATTGTGTGAAACTGTGGATGTCATTTCTAAGCTTTATTTTTATTTCTTCTTTCAAATAGGTATAACATATTTACTTGGAAGTTTACTATTCATTCAATGAAGCAAGTGGAATGCTTATAACTTAACAGTTAATGTTTTTGGTTGGCATAAGCCTGTGTGGGTGTGTATCCCACTTTGTAATTAAGTTTGTTTGCTTCTTAATTTCTTGCAGATATTAAATTACTGTTTATTTATGCTTAACTTTTCCTGTGGGATTACATCAAAAACCACATATAAGTAGAACGTTCCAAGGGTAATTAGGTTTCTCTTATTTAAAATTGGTTGTTTTCCAGTTGGTACATTGCCAGTTTAAAAACACTACAGATATGTTAAATTTAAAATGTAAAGGAAAGTGAGTATAATAAAGCAGCATCTTCCTTTCTTAAAATATTTTTTTATTATTAAACAACTAGTACAAAAACTTTTCTTTTACACATGCAGGACACAAAACTAGGGTACAAATGCAGTGTAGAAATGTAGAAGGTATTTGTCATGATATAAAAGACTGTTTGGTTTAAATATTAGTGATTAATTTATATTTGTAAGTGAATACTTTATTATTTTTAAGTTTTGTTATAATAAGAGTTAAAAGCAGACAATTGAAGAAGGTTTTGTTAATAACTAATTGGTGTCAAAAATATAGAAAGTGGCCAGAGACTATGTAATAAAGATATAAATAGCGTGAGACGAGCGGGAAGCAGCAGACAGACAACAATAGACATATAAAAGCAAAGAGAATATAGTTGGTGTGAAGTTAAGTAACATGAAAGTGATAGGCCTAACGTTTGATATGTTAGAGTGAAACTAACAGTATATAAAAAGATAAGAATGATAATTTTATTCCGTCAAAGTGTGGTTCTAAAGTAATTGAATCAGCCTGGGTACAATTTGACAAAAGGAACAGAGGATCTTCAGAAGAAAGAAGACCAAACGAATTACGATAACTTGCACCACAACTGCAAGTGAATCATACACAGAATACTAGTATGATAGGAATATAGAGAAGATAGTTTGACTTGTCAACTGAACTTCTAAAGTAATTGAATAGGCCTAAGTGGACTTTTGCCAAGAATAAGAGAACTATATATAAATAGTGTTTATGATATGCCTGTAATTTCTAAAGTGTGAATACTTTGTTATACATACGTTTAACTTGTTCCGAATATATATACATATATATATTATTTGAAAACAAGTAAAGTGTGTACTTAATTGAATAAGTAGAGTTGTTTAAACATTTGTTTCAACAACAAGTAAAAGTTTGGAATGGTCTGTTCTTTCATTGGGGTGTGTGTCTGTGAGCCAGACCAGTTTCGGAGAATTCCACTCCTCATCAGTGACTCTGGACACTACCACCAATGAAAGTTCAGACCAAACCAAGCCTTTATAGTAGGGAGGTATCGAAAATCGAACTGATGTATTTAAGTGTTTTACACTCACAAAAAAGAAACCTATCATTCTGTAGGTATTTGAAGAACTTCTAGCAATCCGCCACAATTTAATTCTTCATCACTGAAATGTTTAAACAACTCTACTTATTCAATTACGTACAAGCTGCCTAGTGTCGGCTAACAATATGAAGAATTAAATTGTGGCGGATTGCTACAAGTTCTTCAAATACCTATAGAATAATAGTTTTTTTTTTTGTGAGTGTAAAACACTTAAATACACCAGTTCAATTAAAGTGTGTACTGTTTATTCATCGTTGAATTTATCATTAACAAGTCACGGACACCTACTGTAGAAGAATCCTAAGCCCAACAACAACATAGTATATATTTATACTATTAAGAAATATAACTAAAAGCCATTTATTTTGACAATTGGCAAAAAGAAGAACTTGTATATATCATTTACAAAATCTGACATTATTCTATTGGAATAGATTACTTATGAATTAGAACTATGATAATGGTGAGGGATATACCATTTATCAGACTTACCTTATTCTTGCAAGTCTTACTTATGAAATAAAATTATAATTGATAATTAAGAACTATTACGGATGCCAAAGTTCACAACTTCATTAATATATATCTACCATGTACTGTCTGCTGCCTTTTGTGGGAAGGTAGTTGCTTAAAGTTAATGGTTTAAAATGTTTTACTTGAAACAGATCAGTAGAGGTGTTAATTGAAACTGTATCTTGAAATTGATATTCCAGCTTCCATCAGTGTTACATATCTGTATGAATAACGTAATGATAGCTAAGCTGACTAGAACAGTATATATTACTAAATACAGAAGAAGGAAAAAATAATTTGTCTTCTTAATATTAGAAAAGTAGTCCATTACCTAACTTCCTCCTTGGCCAGTGTGCCATAAACTAGTTCTCGGCTGTGTATAAACAATTTGAATTAACCACATAATGTTTATTGAATGTGCAATTTGCTCCAGGGATACATATAACAAAAGCAAAACAAGTGTTGTACATGTGAAATTTGTGATAGTATATATTGTAATCTCAACAACTTTCATAGTCATGATAACCTGATAGTGACTATCATAAGAAAACATTTCATGTATGTACCCCACAACAGTGGGAATGCCAGTTTTAGTTATAATTCGTGCTTGCCAGTTTATTGAGATAATAATCATAATTTGTAAATAACTGTAGACTAGTATTTTAATATCAATCATTTTTAGTTGTTTTTTCAAAATTATCTATAAAAATTCAACATGTTCAGTATAATGTATTTACAGCCTAGTTAAGATGTTATTTTATCAAATATTTTAACAATTTGCCATATTGTTGGTTATGTTCTCTTGAATTTCATTGCCATTGTACTTTGCAATATTTTTTTAATCGACAATTTGGTAGTTGATTACAAAATAAAGAAAGATGTGATAATGCTGTCAGATTCTTTTTTTTTTTTGCAGATGAAAAGGTTGTAGAATTTGGTCCCATTGAACCTTCCAAAACTGAGAATGATATAAGAAAAACAGCCTACACTCTTCCTCAGGGTTTCAAATGGGATACACTTGATATTAATGACCCTTTAATTGTGAGTATAACTTGGGTAATTATTTTCCAAAGTTTTATTTTGCTCTGCCCTCCTTTTTGTAATTTACATATATTTAATTTAAGGACAACAAGGGACCTGTAGTTTCATCTAGGCTGTCCCATTAACTAAACCAAACTTTAAAATAAAACATTTCAAAACCAGTCCTTATATTTCATATATTTATCAAGACTTCCCCAAAACTCCCTTAAATTAACTACATCCACCACATCAGAAGTCAAAAACCAACCACCCTGTTAGAAAATAAAACTATCTTAGCTGAAGATGACTCCTACCTTGTCACAATTTACATCCCCTAATCCTACTATTCTCACCGTTGAGTGTGAAAAAAGATGATACAAAACACTATTAACTCCCTTAACAGTCTTAAACACCTCAATAAGATCCCCTCTTAACTCTTCTTTTTTTCAAGGGAAAACAATTTCAGAGATTTTAACCTTTCCATCACAGGTATCATTCTAGTAGCCCTGCTCTGAGCCTTTTCCAACAGTTCAATGTCCTTCTTAAGGTAAAGACCCAAGGCTGAACACAGTACTCCATATGTGGCCTAACCAGTGACCTATACAATAAAAGTATAACCTCTTTAGACTTTTATTCATTATTTCTGTAGAAACAACCTAAAATCCCATTTGCTCTTTATCTCCACTTATTTATGTATCAAAATTGTAATTCTGAAACAATTACTTACTTCCTCTTTCAGTTACAGCTATTCTCTATTTTACTGCCCTCTAGTGCACACATTTTCACTCACCACTAGCCTTGAACTCTCACTTAATTTCACATGTATATCACGTGGTTCAGCTGCTTTTAAGCATGCAAATTAGCATGCAGAAACCATCCACCAATAGAAGTATGACACACCCTCTTAGCACAGTTGATTCCCTCTATGCATTTGAACCAAATCGTCACTTCTCGATTTGGCACAACAGTGTTAAAATCTAATGCTTGATTTTAGACATTTTTTTTCATTTAGTGCATTTTGAAAATATTCCGTTACTGATTTTCACATTTCGAAGTATTGTTTATAATCCACTATCAAGTTGGATTTCTTTATTTGATTGTGAATTCTATTTCTCACTTAATTACTGGTAGTGGTCAATATTTTTGAATTCACAACTTACTATTATGACTACGTTGGCTAATGATGGTATCGGCATTAAACAGTTCGTGACAATGGCTGCAGGTATGGCATTATCGGCGAAGGAAGTGTCAGCTGTAGTTTGTCAGGATATGGCTTCTTTCGTGTGGACTGAGGGATCCCTCGCTCTACAAACAATTCTGTCATTACATGAGGAATTCGATCAAGACGATGCAGGCTTGGACAGCCTCCCATTCCTTTGCTGTACAGGCATATTCTAGCCTGTTGAAGTACCTAGACCTCAGATACCATTTTTAGACTTGGTATCACAGGTATGTTGTGTTTTATCTTTGTCACCTGTGTCATTGACCCTCCCCTTCCTTATTAAATGCAGCACCTAGTTCTGAGTATTTGATTTCCCCCTTCACCTGATATTGGGGTCCATGCCAAACATTTTGCAGATCACTTACATGCAGGGGTTAGTATGCCGTGCCCACATGTACTGCAGAGGCTCATGCATTTTCATATCATCTATCAGCAAATCCTTTTTCAATGGCCAATGGGACAACAATTGGATTCACTTTTTACCCTTAATAGTTCGGACCCTTATACTTAATGCATTTTTCCTCAAGCATAAGTTGTTCGCCTCTGTTTCTCCCTCACAACACTCCCTTATTATATGTTTTCCATTCACATGTTGTCTGAGGCTTTTTGTCATTCTCCCGAGGGTTTTTCAGCAGAAGCCCATATCCTCCAAATCACCAACTTATCCATATTATCTTTGTCTGCCCTTTCCCTCCACACTTGGCTCCTGTGTTGCTGGGATGCTTTGTTGACACACGTGCATCTCCACCCCCAATCCCCCCGACTTCCTTGCGTACTGGACTGTACACTCACGGACTAACATGTGAAAAGCAGAAAGAGATTGCTGCCCATCTCTAACATTCATTAGGTTGCTGAATTGGGAATGATCTGCTTTTAAAAATAGGGTCTCATGGTCACCCATTGAACTTTCTCTGGTGATCCGTTCGTTTGGACTCCAACGCATCCCCCCTCGACTCTTCTATTAAGGTGGTGGATCATGCACAATCCCACTTAGTCAAGGTTAGGTCAGTGGCATTTTGCCTGTGTAGAAGGCATGATTATCCCCCTTCTGCAAATCTGATGCTTTATTCCAGATGCCACCGGTCTGGACTGGATTTTTCCTTCTATTTTGCGGCTCACCTCTCTGGCTGGGAACCCTCTCTCCTACCACCACCTGGATGTTGGTTCCCGGGTGACTGGTTTTGGTTGGAGCTAGACCAGCCAATATAAGTTCTCATATGTAAGTGGGTTGGGAATTTCCTCCTACTGCGAACTAGCTGTTACATCTCCAATGCTGATTAGTTTTGGACTGGAATTAACCCTCCAAGTTGCACTTCCACCTTCCTGATGTAGTCCGGATGTACATTCTCGGGGTTTATTGTTCCAGATAATGTTGTATTTGCACACATATTGGTTTAGGTTCTTGGAACAAAGGCACCCTTCCATTCTGGTTCCTACACCTGAGGTGAATAGTTGAGGAACCTCCTCTGCCAGGGACCAGTCAATTTCCTCCTGGTGCCACTGCTCTGGACTGGAGTTGACCTCCCAACTGTGATCCAACATTTCTAGCCACTCTACACACATCCCTCTTCCTTTTGGATTTGGGATGAATCACTGGTTCTGCCCTTTGATTGCAACACAACACCAGTTGACTCCACTTGGGTGAAGGGTATACCTGGTTCAGATGTAATGCGGTCTCCCATGGGTGTGTTTCTTCTACATAGAGAGGGCACACTCCATGGAAGCTCTTCAGACGATTTTAAAGGGTGCTCATCTAGGTAATTTTACACTGTCCCTCCACCTGCTCAATGTAGTATTTAGCTGCAACTGTGAGAAGAAGTAAGTAAGTAATCATATCGGAAATTAATATTTTCCTATACTGAAAGTATATTTCTGATTGATACTTACCTCCTCTCACACTTCCAACCCATCCTCCTCACTTCCAGTATTGTTTTTTATGCCTAAACTTGAAGTGAAGATTGGGTTCAACTGAATAGTGGGAGTCAGCTGCAATAGAAGGGTGTGTCGCACTCCTATTGATGGAGGGTTGTTGCATGCTTGAACACAACTGAACCACGTGGTGTACACATGAAATTAGGTGAGAGTTCAAGGCTAGTGGTGAGTGAAAATTTGAGGGCAGTCAAGTTCAGAATAGCTGTAACTGTGAGGGGAGGTAAGTATCTATTGGAAATATATTTTCAGTGTAGGAAAATATTAATGTTTGAAAGACTGCTGAGCAAAGAAAAGTTTGTCATGTATTCATAATATAATCAGAAAGAAGTCTCTTAATATAAAATGATTGTTATATTTATATTTGGTTATTTTATCTAGTTGAAGGAACTGTATCTTCTGCTCAATGAAAATTATGTTGAGGATGATGATAATCTGTTCAGATTTGACTACTCACCTGACTTCCTTAAGTGGTAAGTAATTCATTGTTCATTAGCTATTAAGATGTGCATAATTCAAGTGTATCTTCCTGCCTGTATAATAACTAAAGAATTTTTTGTTGAAAACATGTAATTGCTTTTGTAGCAACATTCTAGTCAGTGTTTAATATGTTAGGGTTTATAAAACCCTTATCCAAAATACTAACTAGGAAATAAAGTTAACCACATGTAAGATATGCGTATCTTACACAAATATTTTTTTTTTTCTGTGGAAATAAAAAACTGATGCAAGCAACCTGGAGTGTATTATTTAAGAGATGCCAAAGTTGGTTTATTTCCAAATTTGAGATTTGTGTGTATATGTAATCCCATGCTAAAATCATTATGCATAGCATAGCTGTACTTGTCTGGGGGAGTGGTGATGAAGCTGAATGCATCTTGAGTATAGAGACGCATTATAAAAATTGGAAAGTTTAACATATTTGAATGAAAAATTTATGCATTGTTTACAAAGTGGAATTAGTTCACATACAGGAATCCTGAAAATCTACAGTAAAAGTTAATATCATCCCTTTATTTTGACAAGCAAAGGACGGGGGTGAGTCATTTAAAAAATGCTTCCATTTTCCTTCAAAAGTGATTGCTGGAAATGATAAGAAGCCAATAGAAGAGAGGCTAACCTCCGAATGACTTTTCATTTACAGCAAGGCTATAATGCATCACATAATTAAAGCTTAGACTGGTTGAACATAAAGTTAATGAGATTTGCACTTTGGGATGTGAATGCAGAACAAAGGATCAAATTTCATGAAACTCGTGATTATTGTGTGAGACTTGGCATTTCTGATATTACTTATACAATTTCTGGTATTCTGAGAACTTGTATAATAGTGTATAGGTATCTATCTGTGCATATTATATGACAATTCATTGTTATTTGAGTGAAAAGAACTGATGATATGTTTATTTGGCCTGAATGTTGGCATGAGGAAGGAAATTACTAATGAATCTTCATAATGTATGGCATTGTATCAGCAGAAATGTGAATATCTGTGGCTACCATTCAGAATTTAGCAGCTTAAGAATTACAAAATTGACTTTCATTTAACCCTTTCGAAATGGGTCACAGGTGAAAGGCCATGTCATCTCTTTTGTTGACTCGCATTCAAAATTTTATTGAACTACTGGTTCATGAATTCATCTCAATAACTTTGGTATCGCACTGTAGATTATAATTCAAATTTTAGAACTATACATTACTCAACATGTTAATTTAAAAGTAAA